GAGAGAAAGAGAGGGGGGTAACAACAAAATTGCAAGCGTCCAGAAGAAAATTAAATTAAGAAAAAACGGGAAACGTTGCCATTGCAATGGGCAAGTTTATATCACGACTTTACGACGAACAAAAATAAAAAAATGGAAGCGCAGTAAACGGTGGGAGAACCGCTACCCACTGGGTTAACCCGTGGGTGGTCGTCGAGTCGAGCATGAGAGTATTTAATAACTTATTGACATGGAATTTATTCGCTGCTCCATGAAGTTGCCATTTTTGGTCGAATTAAGCGTGTGCCGTCAGGTTCATGAACAACCTCTTGATTGGGCTGTTGGAATTGTACAATCGCGTATTGTTATCGCCGGTCGCGACACACCAGGCGATATGCATCGGGCAGATTGCATCGGCTGATGATTCGGGCGGCGATAATATCAAAACGTTTTGATCTGTGCGATGGCATCGGCCGATGGCATCGGGCGATGAAATCGGCGGCGATTGAGTGGACACACCAGGCGATTTTCACGGCGATGCCATCGGCCGATGCCATCGCCCGATGCAATCGCCTGGTGTGTCCGGCCCTTTAATCACACATGCCTTTATTCAAGCAGGGGCTATTATTTGAGGGAATACCGTATGTGTACATAAGCATGTACATGACAGCGGCTGTACTGTTAAATTACTTGTCTACTATTAACAACATTGGCCACGATTTTCAGGAAAAGTCAGGAACCATAAAAATGTTCCGATTAGGGGGTGAACACATTTCCTGTTGCACATGCATGATGACTTGAACTTTCCACAAAATGCACTGTACAATACACACTGCATAAAATACATAAATTTATAGCTCTAGAAATGTTTTGTGAGCTCATTACGTTTAGAATCCGCTGAAAAGCCGAGTCAATTTGCTTTCAGTTAGGATTGTTGTACAATGTTTGCTAAAGAAGGAACTTTGTTCTGCAGAAAATATATACTATTTAACCAAGGTCCAATCTCCTTTGAGTAAAGTAACATGTGTAAGGCTTGCTTTTGCGAAGTCGCATGTCGTTTAGGCGCTGCAGCCATTTATCTGAGGCCTAATAAAGTGGGGGTACACTGTACTACTTCACTAGTGCACTCCACTCCTACCCTCCCTTCTTCTGGGCAGTCAAATTTAACATTTCCCTGACTATCTTGTAAGGTTTTATTACTCAAGGAAAATGCTGACTACTGCAGGGTTGCATGGTCTACGTGGAGCCGAGGAATGGATGCAGCGTGATCACCCCTCCACCAACAAACTTCTCCACCAACAAACCATGGATTGCCATAATCATGCGCGGGGACTGTGACTTTGACAAAAAGGTTCGGGAGTTGAGTCGAAAGATCGTACATGCGGTGGTGCAATTCGCATATAGCTTTTCACTTTGACTTTTCCTGAACACTCACAGTTTTAATTGTGTTACTACTGGGTGGCCAAGTGCACCTACTTTAATGTGATTGGTTGCTCAAGCCAGATAACTTGTTGCTGTAACCAGATAATATTGTTGTAAAGATTGTAAAGTTGTGTGGTGTCTACCTTAATCTCAGTCATGTTTAGATGTGCAACTTTAATTCTGAATGGTTTACAAGATGACCAAGAGGCAAGTTCCAATAAAAAGGCTTTATGGCAACAACTTAGTAGGCCTGCTAACGATGTCAGTTTTTATGATGCAGTTATATATCTACTCTGCACTACCACATTTTTAGAGCGTAAAGCCCACCGCACACGCTGTGGAACTTGCTGCGCCATCGTCCACACGTATTGTCCTGACGATGGCGCAGCAAGTTCCACTGCGTGTGCAGATGCAAAATCCCTCCATCTGCATCGTGTGGAAAATATCACACGTGTTTGATATTTTCTTCCGCGTGTGGAAGATTGAACAGCGTGTGCGGAGTGGCTGTGTAAATTTCCACACTCAATTCGCATTGTTCTTGATTGTTTGCTTGGACACGAAGCGCCGTTGAAGAGAGCGTTCACATGACGTTTGATCGATCAGTTCTTGGACATGCTTCTATGCAAGCTGCGAGCTGAGAAAAAAAATACAATGCGTCCAAGCGAACAATCAAGCGAACAATGCGAATTGAGTGTGGAAATTGACACAGCCACTACGCACACCCTGTTCAAACTTCCACACGTGGAAGAAAATATCAAACACGGGTGATATTTTCCACCCGACGCAGATCGAGGGATTTTGCATCCGCACACGCTGTGGAACTTGCTGCGCCATCGTCAAGACGATGAGTGTGGACGATGGCGCAGCAAGTTCCACAGCGTGTGCGGCGGGCTTAAGGAATATGTATAATCAGAACACAAGTAAACAGTATGTATCACTAAGCAAATGTTTATTGCACTATCGAGAGGGTTACTGCCGTGTTGGTTGTTACAGTGTTGTTGTTGTCGTGTGCTTGCTGGTTTTCATAAATGACTGCCTTGTTACAGGTAATACATGCACAGTTGGCTGGCTATGGTGCTGCGATAGTGTACAATGACAGATCTGATGAGCTCCTACCTATGTACTCATATGGCAAGTGATTTATTATGTCACTAGCTGCGGTTACCCGCTGCGCTGGGTAAAATCGTGCTACTAATTCATAGTACTATAATAATGGGACAGAATAGGAACATTGGGTAAAAATCGACAATAACATTGCAGACAATATTAATATTTAGAAATGAGTGTAATAAGATAATAAGCATGGGAAAAACGAAAAACTGCTGTTACGTATGCCATTTATATGACAGCACAACCGAACTTAGAACCCCTGGGACATAATAGTAATATGGTGTAAATGAGAAAAAATTATTATAACAGCATGTAGAAATGGGTTGGACTTTTCATTTGAAAGCCTCTTGATAAAGAATGTTTTTCGTCTTATTCTCTGGTGCAAATATGTAGAGATTCCTGGCGTCTCCAACTCTTGAGCTCCCCACGTACAGCTATCCATTGTGAGATCGTAGCATGAATAAAAGGAATATAGTATCAGGAGCTAATAATGAAAAATTTGTCATTATTACCTGCTCATAGTATAGGTAGAGAGAGACACGCAACCATGCACATTGAAATGAAGAAATTTTCCTACTGAATCAGAAACTGCATAGCTTTCGAATGGTAAAATGCATTCTGCGATCGTAGCATCTGAACTGAACCTCTGAGCTGAGTGAGTAGTACCTCTGAACTGGTAAAACTGGTGCTGGTTGTGGTGTGTTTTAGTATTGGTTTCGGTTTCACAATACCAGCAGCCGGATGAGGTGAGGGAATCGATTTTTCTCAGTGTGGCAGCACTGTACAGTCAGTGCTGACATTGTGTGAAGATTCACGAATTGACGAGTTTTTCACGGATTTTTCGGTGAGTTTGACGGTTTGACAGGTTTTTTCCATCTAGGAACACTCCCCGGGTATAAGAAATGGCTCTGTGAAAATTGCATCCAGATCGCTTGGGCGGTTTGGCCGCCTATAGGGAAGATACATACATACATACGAACTCAAATATATATTAGATAATGCATCATTCGTGTGTGAAACCCTTTGTATGCAAATTTAACGCAGCTTGCTTTGGTCAAAATAAAAGTAAATTATTTTGTACATGCTTTTATTGTGTACATAGTGTTATGAATGAAGATATAATAATCTCATATGCATGGGCAGCATGGTGCTTTTAAATAAAATAGAGTCTGGAGGAATAATCGGGTGTGAAGTTGAGTATTGACACGTTGTGCTTGTCACAGTATAACGTGTTCAATCACTGAATGACTGAATCTTGACAATTCATTGCAAAGTTTAATGAGCAGAGGTAGGGGTAAGCGCATATGTCAATATATGGAGTTGGAAATGCATGGTGATCTATTTGGTTAGCTAACCATTGAGCAGATTTGCGAAGTAACACCCGTTTGCTGAATGCCTTTACAGATGCATCCAGTGTGATTATACCATCTGTATTCGTTGGAGAGACAGATGGCCTCTACCTTATCAAGAACTACCAGTACTGGACTAAGTGAGTATGACAGGTGGTATTTCTATTACAGCATGACAGCACACTGCTTATGTGCTATAAAGGTCTGTGTAGTCCCAGGAAAATGTTGATATTTGGTCTTAACATCTGACACATTTACACATTTTATTTGTAATTGTGTGTATACAAAGTATGACTCTATCGTGTGGACTTTAATACGTTGGATAGTCACAAATTTTTCCCTGTGCACACATTTGATTGCCAATAGTGCACACAGATTAATGAGCATCAACGAATGTGCATTTTTGCACATGTTAGAGTTAGATAGAAACTAATGCATGCGCATGTATATATATGCTCAACCCTAGTGGCTGTGCTTGCATACATTTAGTGTGCACCAGTTCATCTGCTTGTACACATTTTATGTACTAATGTACAAATATGCATGTTTACTGAAACTAGTGCATGTGCATATCCACGGTTTCTGGACACTAGTGCATGCATGCAAACATGATATTCCAGTGGTCATTGAGGTGATTTCAGAACAAAATTGTGCACAGTTATTTGATACAGTGTAAACATGGATGAAATTTAGTTCGTTCATGTTTCTTTAACAGACTTTGTTCCAGCTGCTTTCGTTACTCTTTATGTTTACAACTGCCTTTTGTATTAACATCCTGTCCGGCTAAATATATATTGTCGAATGTTATTATATATTGTATGTGTTTATGCATACACTTGCATTCGTTTGTGTTTCTCTATCCTGTCTACTCATTTTCGCTCCTCTTTATGTTAACCACTGTCTTTTGTATTAACATCCTGTCCTGGTGGACTGTAAGGCAGGAAATTTCTTTTTCACTCTGCTATCAATGAGCTTAATTGCATGCTTCTAATATCAATTTGCTCTGTGTGTGGCATGCTTGTTAGTGCTTCACTATTCAGAAAATTTTCTTGTTGATGTACTTAATGGCAGAATGACAGAAAACTATGTAGGTGTGGCTGGATATGCACTTAACCTGGTTTATTAACCTTGTCATGCTCATGCTCGTGGATTTTTTTAAAGATCTTATCTGTCAGGGTACGATGTCGAGCAGATGTGATAAGTTTCCCGCCTTACAGTTCATACTGTGCTTCTCTTTCCTTGGCAGGTACTATCTGACCCTGACCCCTGACTTCCCTGTTGACTTTGACAGCTACCTGCTGCCATTTGCTGTTGTTGTCGGCATTTGCTTCATAATAATGTTGATATTCATGGTAAGTTTTTTAAGATGCTATCACCTGGTTGCTTATCTATTTTTACTGTCTGCCTGGATATAGGTCCGAAATAAGGCTGGTGAGAAACTGGTGGAAGGATATGGATGTACTATCCTATCTCATTCCATTCTTCGTAGCTGTTGCTGTTTCCTCCTTTGGCATGTTCATACTGATGGTAGGAATGGTGAGTTTTGTGAGCGAAGACTACGGCTTTGCAGATGTTGTCCTTTCCTGCGGGTAAGCAGTATTGACTCTGAGGTGATGGTGAGATGTTTCTGTGTGCATGTTGGTGGAAGCATTTATTACAAAGTACACAGATATTTTGTAACAGTGTTAATGTAATGTAGAGTTATTAGAAGGTAGAAAGTAGAGTTTAGTTTGAGAAGATACTGGTGACACATGTATAGATGTTTGCGCTACTGCGAGCGCATGGTTGAATAATATTGCGGCATTTGCGAGCAAGTAGCGGCAATTCATTACGGAAGGTTAGCACGGGTTGGTCGCGCGCAGGCCAGGAATACGCGGCAAGCGTGCGTGTTGACCACATGTGATACGTTGGTGACGATCGAGTTCAGAAGTTCTCCATACCATATAGGGGGCTTGGCAATGTCATTCCCCCAAAGTGATAGATACCTTTTAGTTCAGTAGAATTTCACTAGTCGCCATCATGGCAGCACAGTCCAGTACACCATAACTACGTAATAGTGTACCATGTAGAAATAATTTAGTTAACGAATCAACGAACAGAAGAAATCAAGTGTCTGACCAATGGTCAGACATGGGGGAGAGACTGAATTATTTGGAGTAGTATATAATCGCATGCAGAGCGTCGGAGAGACAAGTTTACAGGTTCTTACAAAGTTCTTACAAAGTTTTACAAAATCTTACAAGTTTTAGGAGTTTTTCAGTTTCTCAAGCAGTACTACACTATAGGCTATGAGCCAAGGGTGTTGGTCGGTACCATACAGATGGAGTAAGGCTCATTGTGATTTTTAGCAAGATATATATCCCTAGATATGAAAAAAATGTGATAGCAGTGTATAACTCTCGGCCATCTCTGTGTTATCACTCGAAATAGTGCTTTGCCTTCTTCGCTTTGCCAAAAAATTTGATATTGGGAAAAATTAAAATAAATATTTTGTTAAGGACACATAGTGCCAATAATT